AAATGATTCTATGAGTCAATAAGAAATCCTCTCATGGGATAATAAATAAATCATGAGTCAATAATAAATCTATGAGTCACTAATAAATCACCTCATTGTTTCAAACATTCTGAAGCCAGAAGATGGAGGTTTTGGGTAGCCCACCCTTCAGAGCATCCTCCAGGATCTCTCTTGCTGAACCCAGTAATTTGCTTTTGACTTAAGCAAGTCTTCAGGAAAACAAGCCTGCTTTTATCTCCTTTTGTTTGTTTGTTTTATGGATCAATTCACTGCAACTTCACTGGCAAAAAACCCCAGCTTTTGCTCATGTGTAAGATGTGTTTGCTATTGTCCTATTATAAAGCCATTGTCATGTTGTTATTGTTGCATTGTCATTTCCTGAAATGACTGAAAACATGAAGGTTTTATGGGAAATGCCTAATCTTGGATACTTGGGAGTATTAACTGAAAAGGACTTGCAGCACCATTTGATGTTATTTTTATTTATTCAACCACACAGACCTTTCTTGTCTAAGCTCACAATAGCAGATATCATTTCACTGCATTATCACAGCGGAGAACACCAGTGGTTGCACAGGCACGACTTTGGTACCGTGTGTGTCTGGTTGGTTCCCATTATCTGAAGGGGGCTACAAGGATGCTGGGGAGGGACTCTTCATCAGGGACTGTAGTGATAGGACAAGGGGTAACGGGTTAAAACTGAAACAGGGGAAGTTCAGGTTGGAGATAAAGAACAAGTTCTTCCCTGTTAGGGTGGTGAGGCACTGGAATGGGTTGCCCAGGGAAGTTGTGAATGCTCCATCCCTGTCAGTGTTCAAGGCCAGGTTGGACAGAGCCTTGGGTGACATGGTCTAGTGTGAGGTGTCCCTGCTCATGGGTAGAGGGTTGGAACTGGATGAACTTTAGGTCCTTTCCAACCCAAACCATTCTATGATTCTATCTGGGCCAAGACAAGACATTCTGTGTTCTCAGCCCCCCAGTACAGCAGAGGGTCACACTGTGGGTTCCACTGGCCAAGCCCCTCATCAGTAAGAAACCTTAAGGGCTGCAGGAACAACGCTGGTTTGTCCCTGTTGAGGAGGAACAAACATGGAACTAGGCAGGAACTTAGAAAAAAGGGCTTGGGGTGGAAAACACTGATCTGGCAGCAGCTCTGCAGTAAAAGACCTGACTGGATTGGGGTGACCAGAAGCATGAGATATGCAAACACTTCCTGCAGGCACCTCTGATGAGGCTCAGTTGTAGAGCAGCCAGAGGACAGCAACAAGAATGATCAGAGGCATGGAAAGATATCCTCCAAAGAACGAGAGGAAGAGGTGGCACGTTTATCTTAGGGGAAGGGAGGCACAGGATCAGTCTGCAAGGATGTAAAGGATTGCTACAGGAAAGAGAATGATGTGTTCTCCATGCCTGGGGTGGGTAAGGCAGGAAGACATGAACTTCAGCTGCATAAGATTCACGGTAGCACCTGGAAAGCCCATCTAGCAGGATGAATAAGGAAGCACTGGTATAGATTGCCTGGGGAAGATGTGGAGTTTCCATCACTGTTAAGGAAACATCTCTCAGGGGTGTCAGTGACATCCCTCCTGCGCTGGGAACTGCATTTGCTGCTGAGGTCTGGCCCAGAATGAATCCACTTCCCACAGAGGAGCAAGAGAAGCAGGACCTGGCTGAGGTACCACCCACCAGCCAGAACAAGGACTACACAAGGGGCAGATCCCTCCCTCTTTCCCAAGCAACTGAGCAAGTTGACTGCGATGGGAGACCTGGAGGGAGCCGGAGAACGCCTGGAGGAGAGCAAGGCGCTGCCTCTGCCAGGCTGTGTCTGTGGGAATCCCAGAATGCCCTCTAGTGGCCTTGGTCCCAAAATGTCCCTCCAGCTCCCGGTCCGGAGCTGCAGGGTAGGTTGGGAAAGGGGGATGATTTTCCAGGGCTGTTGAGGACGAGCAGCTGGGGATGGCCTTAACAGGAGGTTCATCTCCTTAGCTTTGCTTAACACCCCCTTCCTTCACAAGGGAACTTAATACCACTCGTGTTTGCACAGTTCACTGTGTCTGGTACCCAGCTGGGCTGCTTCATCCTTATCCTCCTCCCATCTCTGGTGGTGCTTTGGCTGTGGTGGCTCTGAGGAGCATCTATTAGCTCTGGCCCAAGAGGGGTCTTGGAGTGCTGGAGCAGCAGGAAAAGGGAATTATTTGGAGTTCCAGCAACCTTTCCTCACGCTTATTGAAGTTTGAATCCAGTTGGACACCTCCCTGCTGCAGGAGGCTGCTGCTGCCTCCCAGCCACCCCCCTCACTGGTGGTGTAACCCTGTAATTCGGATGCAGCCGCACTCAGATGAAAGGACAATTATCTAATAGTGAGATTACAATTAATTCTGCTACAGGGAAACAATTACCCTTTTGGATCTAAAGGGAGTACAAAAAGGCAAAGCATTTACTGATGGAGGGAGAGGGCACACGCCTCCTGAGAACTCCTCTGTGCTGCATGGCCTGGCAGAATCCATGGGCTGAATGCATTGGGCTGAACACCCCTGTCCTGCAGACATTCGGGGTGGGAAATCACCTCCTTTGCAGATGGGCTTTTCCAGCCCATTGATTCACAGCCTGCTCCAATGCGCTCAAGCCCCACCTCTGCCTTCCCAGCACAAGCAGCCCCTCCACTGATGCCCACACAGCCCAATGTACCCATGACACGTGCTGCAGAGAGATGCAAAAGCATCACTGGCAGCGACACGGCGGTCCCCTGGGAGGAAAAGGTTAAACGATACAATTTGCCTTCACAGTGAGAACAGATTTTGCTCTGCTCTGCCTGCAATACTGTTTATCAGCAACTGCAGGCTTTAAAATCCGTACTTTACAAGTGCAGCATAACCTGCCAGCTATAATTGGTTGAATTATACCTCATCCCTGATGCAACTCTTGATGACTCTCTGCCTCAGCCAGAAAACTGATAGGAGACAAGTTTATAGCTGTCTTGGAAAATACAATTATAAATTGCATCCCCATCACAAGCCCTGGGAAAGGTTAACTGTTTCACTGCAGCTCTCCAGGCAAGGGGTCTTCACAGCCACTCCTTTCCCCATGCAGGAAGGGAAAAGAGGAGGGAGAAATCACTGCCAGAGAAGTTCAGAGAGATCCAATCAATAATATTGGAGAGGAAAAGAGGGATGCACTGGCTTAGTTCCTATTTATGCCATGTCTCCCCGTGTGTTTCCAAGCATCTATAGGCAGGAAAGCTGTACATCAAGGAAAGGTCCAATAGTTTTGGCCATTGTGTTCCCAATGGCCTGGCAGGGTCAGGTTATGCGACTGCTGAAGCCACCGTGTTCCTAAATCCTTCTCTTAGAGGTGTCTTTATACTATTCCCCTTCAGCTCTACAGAGCTGGAACTGGGATGGAAACATCATTGGGACTGAACTCCCAGTGCACAGAGACCACAGTCAGAATGACTGAGTAGATGCAGCATCTTCCACGCATGGTCCAAAAGGCCTTGTGGTTTTGTGATGAGGACCAGGTATGATGAATTATGAATGAATGATGAATTATATGAATCTATGATATGATTCTATGAATTAACTGCAACTTACCAACCCAGCACAGATAAATCACTTCCCTGAGCACATGGATCACAGTGTGTACAGGCATTTCCTCATAGCTATTAAGGTGTCCAGAGTCCTTTACTCTGCTGCCTAGGGCTTGTCTTAGAGGTGCCGCAGGACCAGATAACAACAGACCTGCTTCTGCAGGACCCAACACAAAGGCAGCCTGCTCTGCACTTGAACTGTGCCCAGCCACAGTAACAGCCCTGCACCAAGGTCAAGCCAAGCCTATCACTAATCCTTGCATCACCAAGGGCTGCCTGGATTCTCTGCTTCTTCTCTTGAGCAATGTAAGAGGGAGCAGAAGGTGCAAACCCCACGCAGCTACAGCTGAGCACTGCCGGACGTTCAGCCAGGGGCAATTCAAACCTGCCTCTCCCACCTTCAAAGAGAGAGCTAGCTCCCTTTCAAAAACAGAGAAGAGAGGAATCTCTCTTGACTTCACTTGAGACATTTGCAATGGGATTAGAAGCAGCTGCCTGTCCTGGTCACCTCCTCTGGTGCAAGAAATGCACCTTCTTCCCCCTCCTCTCCGCTCCTGCTGACTCAGGGCACAGAAGCAGCTTGAAGCCAATCAACCCATCTCCTCTTTTCAAACCTTCTGAAATATGGGCCCAGAAATATTTACAGCCTCTCTGCCTGTCCCTGACCTTCAGCTTTTATTTGCGTACGTAAATTTTGTTCTATTCCAGAGCTACAAGTTTCATATCAGGGCAGTTCAATCTTTATGAGGATAAAGTGTTTGCAGTGCTCTTAAGCTGCTTAACGTAAGCATGTGTGTGAAAGATTAACAGCTTTATAAGTCAGAGCAGTTAAGTTGACAATATAAAGAGAAAGGAAAGGGGAAAACATCATCAATCTAAAGCAGCACTAGGAATATCTGAGATGAATTACTGAAGGGGACTGGCTGCCAAGCCCAGCAGTGTCTCATGCACCAATGACCAGTGCAGGAGCCCTCCCAGGGGAAAGGTAGAGACAGAACAGCTTGAAGGGTTCATCTTCTCTACAACTTTGGAACTTGGAAGAGAAAGGGATGTCTAATTATCCCTCGATATTTATGACCATCATTTGGTGGTCCGTTCAAAGCAGAGATTGAATGGAAGAAGGAAAAGGCAGACTCTTAGCACAGCTAAACACACACCTCTTCAAGCCACCTCAATACCCTCAGGGACCAAAACCAAGCCAGACAGTGGGTGGACTGTGTGGCTCAATAACTGGCTCCCTCTCCATGTAAAGCATCTGCAAGGACACTCACCCTTTTGCTGCTGAGGCTGAGGAAATGTTTGCAGGTTGCTTATAGCAGGCCTGATGGACAGGGAGAGCATCTCATCAAAGGTCTAATGCTCTCTCCAAGGTATAAGATGGCAAAACAGGGGTAAGAAACATGGGAAGACAAACTAGGCATTACAGGGATGTATTTTATTTGACCGCCAGCTGCTGCATCTGCATAAGGCTCCAAAAACCTCTGTCAAGATACCAGTTACAAAGCACGGGGTCATGCAAGGACAAAGGCTTTTTATGGTCTCTGGCAACCCAGCTAATGTCTGTGTCCTTATTTTACTTACTTGCAGTTAAGGAATAATTCTGCCTGTCTTCCAAGACAGGTGGCTGGCTTATTAATGAATGGTTGCAAAATGTTCTGAGATCCTCTGATGAGGCATCACTGGAAGAGCAGACTATGACGATGCCCATGGAAATTGGCTGCTTGGCTCCAGATTTTAATTGCATACAAAAAGAGAGGGACACATCAGAGCTCAGCCCATGAAACAGGAAACATGAGGCATCGGGAGAAACAGAGAGTGGCACCGGACGTCAGTGAACAAATGCTGAAGCTGTTCTTTGCCAAGATCAGACACGATGACAGCAAGAGGAGAAGGCTTCATCGAGGCTGCACTGAGAGAACTCCTAGACCAGCATCAGATCATATTCACCATGGGATTATTCGCTGTTTGTTGGACTATGGATTACAAAATGAAGCAACAATGGTTGACATTCACCCCCTATTTTGTCAGGGAATTTTCCCCCTTATTATAGCCTGGTAGGAGGCCTGGCCCTCTTGGACCTTGCCCTGGGGCACGAGGCTTCAACTAAGCATCTGATCCTCTCAGAATGTGTTGTGCACGAGTCATTCCTGCACTTCTGTGATCATCCATCCGAATTATCTAGAGGCTAGTGACAGACATCTGCTGCTAGAAAGCTAGGCTTGAATAATAACATCCTCTGAAGCACCATTACTAGGGTTGGGGAATGTTTGCGGATGGGGTATATCTCTCTTGGAAAACGCCTGTTTATCAGAGTAGAATTTTTCCTCCAGGGAAGTGCTGCTTTGACAAATTTCAGCATTGGATAAAAAGATTGAACCAAAGTATTTCAGGGAGGTCAGAGGACTCCAGAGGTGCTGGAATTTCCTCTTATGATGAAGCACAGAATTGCAGTAGGGCCCAAACATCCCGATTACATCAAAATGAAGTATTTTGTTTGCCCTGATGTGGGACCTTTTCCTGTGTTTTTGTTCTCTTTCCAATTCAGACCAAAAGAAATCCATGCCAGCGAAATAGGAAACCTGACTTCAAAGCAAACCCTGCTCAGGTCACTGAAGAAATGCCCCAGGTTTACAGTCATGGATAACAGGGCTCCACAGTGATGACAGAAAGGTCACTGGGACAGAGCAATGAAGCTGGAGGTTAACAAGCTTCATAAATGTATTTCAGTGCTGGCTATGTTCTTCTCTTCCCTAAACAAAGTCCAGGCTGTTTTCAAGGGAGAATAAAACCCCCACATGTTGCATCGAGGGAAATCTGTGCTATGCAAACAATAAAGATAACCAGGAAAGATAACTTTGCAGGCTGTTGTTTTTACATCTCGGCAGGAATATAAATAAGCCCAAACAGTTGCCTAAGAGATGGAAGAAGCCCGTGGATAAGACTGGAAATCAATGTGCCATGCAGCAAGCACCAGGCCCGAATCAGCTCCCTGCTACACAGGCAGAAATCTATCCATCCATCCACCTTGGGTATTTGTTTATTTCTAAGGCAACCATCACCATGGTGCCAAGGCATCTGTCTATCTCAATTTCAGGCTAGTTACTCTGGATTTAGTAAAATCTAGCAAGGGCAGGTTGGGCAGGGCTTGGAGCAAGCTGCTCTAGTGGAAGGTGTCCCTGCCCGTGGCAGGGGTTGGAACTGGATGAGCTTTAAGGTCCCTTCCAACCCAAGCCAGGCTGGGATTCTAGGGCATGTGGCCAATTTGATGAGATACATTGCAGTGAAAGGATTACTAATTAAGACCCATGGTGGATACTTGAGCCAACGGAAGATTTTCACTTCAAGGCTTGCTCCCCCTCCCACCCCAGTAAAGGCATCTTTTTCATTGGAAAATGAAGATTTCCTTGGGACAGTGCCTTGGTTTCAATGACACCTGTAGGGACAAGGAGAAAGGCCATGCAGACGTTTGCATCTATAGCTCTCCTGAGGCAGGTCTCTTGGCCCATGTCACTTTTCTGCCTGGTTTGCTCCAGATCTGAAAAAGAAGAGACTTCAAAACTCTTTGTACAGGAATGAATGCTCCTTTTCAGACAGCTCTCACAATCCTGGGCACTACCTGGTTCTCTAAGTTATGCTAATATATCTTTGATGGCCAGCTCCTTCAGAAAGGCAATTTAAAGCTTCCAACATCTGAGCATTTTATTTTGCAATATTAATGATGCTCATTCAATAAGGCCTCCTTTTTCCTTCCACGTATTCACTCTGCTTCCTTCTGAGCCTCTCTTTCACCATGTATAAAAAGCAGAGAGAGCGTACTTCGGGTATGTCAAAGCAAAGATCAAGAGGTGACAATCCTGACCTTAACATTGCTGAATCTATATTTGATGCTAAGGTCAGAGTAAATATTTCATAGCAGAGCACTCTGCAGTACATCCAGCCCAAGTAATGCGAGCTGCTGCCCTGCGTGACCTGAAACTAGACAAATCCTAGCTAAAATAAGATGTAAATTTTTAACATCTCAGGAGTAATTAACAACTGAAACAACTTCTCAGGCAATGAATTAGCCATGGGTTACCTGAAGGATTATGGGATTCTCCAGCTGTTTTCTCCTGTTTAGGCATGTGTTCTCCTGTGATATGGCAGCCAGAGTTGAAACGAGCCATGTGTTTCAAACTTCAGCATAGTGTTTAGAAGAGCGTTGGCCAACCATGGGTTTCATCAAGCACAAAAAGATACCTTCTGCTCTGAACAAGTTTCTCTCCAGAGGCCTCACCAAGCAGGCAGTCCCCACTGATCCTGGGCCATGTACTTACACAAAGGTGTGAAATACTTTCAGATCAGGTCCACGGGCAGGTTCCTTCAGGGAAAAACCATCAAATCTTGGACCTGTAAGAGAATGGCTGAGAACAATGTATTGAACTACTGTTATTGATAAATCCAGATGTTATTATTGATAAATCCAGTTTCTGTGCACCTCAGATTTGTTATGTTCAGTTAAATTCTTGCTCTTGCTTGCCAGGCTTCTGTCATGACAGACTAATACTGATTCAGATAAAACCTCCATTCTTTCTGAGACATCTTCTACATGGTCTAGTTCCCTTTTGCTCTTTCTTATTCCTTGCCTTTACTCTCAGCTTGCTCAGTGATGGGAAGAGGATCCCACCTTAACCACAGTGAATTCTGACCCCAAATTTTCAACATGAGCCTATCTCTAAGACGTATTTGTTCTTACAGGGAACATTTTAATAAGTATAAAACTAAGACTAATTCTTCTATAGTACAATCAACACAATCCTCTGCAAGGAAATCTGTTCGGACACTAATATCCACTGTAGGCCAGATTATCTGGTGCTCTGCATTGCAAGTGTCATTGAATTGTGAAGAAGAGAGAAATTCTCATTGAATTATTTGCATGGTATGTTCTTCTCAAAGGATTACCTAAAGGTCTGGTAGCTGGTTTCATCCATCCTTGATAGCAGCAGTACAGGAAAGCTGTCCAGAAACTTGCACAGATTTTCTGATACCATCAAAAAGGGGAGATCTAAACTGACAGAGGAGACTGAGATGAGCTCTTAGGCAGAAGCTCTTCCCTGTGAGGGTGCTGAGGCGCTGGCACAGGGTGCCCAGAGAAGCTGTGGCTGCCCCATCCCTGGCAGTGTTCAAGGCCAGGCTGGACAGAGCCTTGGACAACATGGTCTAGTGTGAGTGAACTTCCTCTGTTTAAGTCTAAACCCATCACCCCTTGTCCTGTCCCTACAGTCCCTGATGAACAGTCCCTCTCTGGCATCCTTGTAGCTCCCCTGGGATGCTCTGAGGTCTCCACGCAGCTTCCCTTCTCCAGACTGAGCAGCCCCAACTTTCTCAGCCTGTTTCTGGGCTGTGAGCACACACTGAAGCTGGTTCATGCTCAGTTTCTCATCGACCAACACCCCCAAGCCCTTCTCCACGGGACTGCACTGTCCTTGCAGGGACTAGGTCATGATTTAAGAGGTTGATTCTTCCCAGAGCTGTGGAAATATCCTGACATTTCTCCCTATGCCTGCTCCTGGTGCTGCAGACAGACTTGTCATGATTTCTGTATTCTGCCTCAAGCGCAGGCACTCTGGGGAGCCACAAGGCTCATCTGCCTGGGGCATGCAGCTGTGCCCAGGGCGTCTCAGCAAGTTCATTTCTCCCAGGCCCCGGCATTCCTGGCGCGATGATGGCAATATGTTTGCCACCAGGATACACTCACATTTCAGGTTTTAACAGAAGTTTGTCCCTCGTGGGCTTTGTCTCTTTCTGGTTCTTGATGGGATCTCCTCCAGGAGCTCATCTGTGCTGGAGGTGGGATAAAGTGGAATAAGCTAAGGGTATGCTTTCTAAAGAATGCATGGAGAACAGCTCTTACAGTGGGACAGCAGGGGAAGGTTTCAGTTGTCTGCCCTCCCAGCCCTGTTTGACCCATGATGCTGCTGATGTGCCCACTGCCAGCAGCAGTCTGCTACTCACAAGGCCAGCATTTATTCTTGCTGCAATCCGCCTTCAGACAGAGATGCTGGATGCGAGGAGCAGCTCCCTGCTGGCAGCAGCTGTGCCTCTGTGCGCCTTTCTCTTCCAGAGGGGTTTCCTTTCATTTTGAAAGATCTGAGACTTTCCTTGGGGTTTGCATTTGTTCACAGGTTGCCTCTGGGAGAGGCAGAAATAGGGGAAGCAGCAGAGAGGAGGGAGCAGAAATGCTACACATCCTCTGATCGCTCCAGGGCCCTCTGTGGGGGATGCTGGGGTGATGGAGCACATGGCATTTATAGAGTGATAGAATCACAGACTGCTTTGGGTTAGAAGGGACATTAAAGATCATCCAGTTCCAAACCCCTGCCATGGGCAGGGACACATTTAGGCTATGGCCTGGCTGCTGCAGCTCGGGGTGGTGCACAGCTCGGTGCTGCAGGGCTGTCTGTACATGGCATGCTGAGGTCCCTTGCAAGAGGCTGGGAGAAAGGCACTGGGGGAGGCCACGGGCTGTGGGTGATGATTGAGAGGAGTTTGCATGAGGGGTATTTAGGTAGGAGAGGGGTGGGTGCTCTGGAAGGGGCATGGGGACTGTCTCAGCCTGGAGCCTGGATGAGGGCAGTGATTTCTCCCCGTCCTTAGAGAAACGCGGCTGCTGCCTGGAGGTGCTGAGAGGGGAGAAGAGGGAAGGAAGGAAGGACACAAAGTCAAGGGAGCACTCAGCTGACTCCTTTCTGCTCCAGGATTTATTGCTCGGTTTTCCTGGCTCTGCCCCAGCCCTGCTGAAGGCACCAAATCACCCCCATTTCATTTCCATTTCCCCCTGGGCAGCAGCTCCACTCCCGTAGAAGACTCTGCCCTGCAGCTGACACAGAGTTTGCTGGTTACAGGCTGGATCCAGGCACAGAGGGGAGCTCAGAGCATCCCCGGAGAGCGCAGCATCACCTCGAACTCATCCCCACGGTGCCCGAAGCCTCCAGGGTGCCAGGGCCCCGTGCAGAAGATGCTCCCTCTGCCCTGCAGCTCTCCTGCAGGGTTGGGTTTCCTTTAAGCCTGTCGTCAGGAGATGTATGAGTCGAGTGCAGCGTTACTGGCGCGGTGCGATTGCTCCCCAGGAGCCTGCCTGCCCCGGAGGTGAAGCTGCTGCTCCTGCCCTTGGAGAGGAGCCAGCTCCACGGCATCACCATTTAATTAAATGACTCCAGCAGCTGCAAGGGAAAAAGCTTCAACATGAGAGAGAAACAAAAACATGGGTTTGGCTGGTACCCGCTGGCAGGGGGGAGCACGCGATGGGGAGCTGCTGACTGCACCCCGTACCGTGCCATTGGGGCAGAATGAGGGCTTAACAGTCTTTAGGCTCTCTCAGTCCTCCCTGGGACTGGGGCTCTCATAGCCCTGTGCAGGCCAGGGAGGGCAGTCAGACGTTTCCCTCTCTCCACTCAGATCTATATCCCAGTCTATTAGGGTCCATCCTTCCAGCTCACCTCTCCTTGGATATGGGAGGCAGGCACCACTGCCTGTGCTAATGCCCTATAGCCATAGACATCCAAAGAAAGAGAAAGAATGAAGAGCTACACACTCACCTCTTCCTGTTTGCTCTGGAGGAATCCTCTGAGGACTTCTCCTCCCTTTCAACCCATTCCCATGGTCCTCAGCTGATCGAGCAATAAAAGCAGGGGATGCTGTCACCTCTCCCAGACCATGAGTGTGACAGACAAGAAGGCACCTGAAGGTGGTGGCCATTGGCTTTCAGAAGAGGCCAAGTCAGGAAGGTTATAGCAGCTTTTAAGGTCAAGGTTTCAGGGTCTGCCCAGGGAAGCTCCACCAGGTAATGGGCAGAATCCATCAGCAAAGCATATTTAGTCATGACCCATATCTGAGCTGCCTAGCAGCTTACAGACAGAGGTTATGTACTCCAGACACTCCTGTCACCCACAGAAACACTCATGATAAAGGCAGGCAGTAAAAGCCATGGATAGAACAATAATTATCCAGGAGCAGGAAGGGAATAAAAAGGGAAAGAGCCTTGATGTAACATAAACATCATAAAAGGCCATAAAAGCAAAGCAAAGGGAAGTGTGAAGGAGAGCGAAGGTTGGCAGCAAGCGTACCTAAACAGAAGGAGCTAGTCTGGAACGGTCTGGAAATGGGGAAGGTTATGGTATGATAAAAGTATGACAAAATGATACATGATAGTATGATACATGATAAAAGTATGGTCTGAAACGGAGAATAGATGAAGCTGAGATGAAAATGAGCAAGGAAATAGATGGATGGACTAGACACCAGCACTGAGAGCTGCAACCCAGACCTATGGAGCTTGTGATCTGCCTCAGTGAGGGACATTTCCAGTGGGCTGAGTGAGTGGGAATGAGGAGAGGGAGAGCAGGGGGAGTGGGGAAGCCCAGATCTCCGATGCCCAGCAGCAACCATGAGGTGTGGAGGAGCGGCTCAGGGCATACACACCTGAGCAACCAGAGGAGATGATGCCTGCTAGGACAGTGGACAATCCCTGTCAGGATGTGGTTGGAAGCTGCCTGTTCCTTCCTGCACAGAGCAGGAGGCTGAGCCAGCATGAGCAAGGGCAGAAGGCTCCATGGCTGAAGTGGAGAGGAGGTGGACGGTCCCTCCACAAATGGAGGCTGTTTTGCTGTCCTCAGCATCCCTCATTCCCAAGAATGGAGAGGCAGATGGTGAAGCAGGGACCAAAAGGAGCCTCTGGGCATTGCTGACATCAGCCCAGAGCCACGGGGAGATGCTGCTGGTGGAATGAGGGTGGAAGCATCCTCCAGCTGCCGCAAGCGCCAAACATTTCTCATTCCCCATGTGCTCTTAACACCTCCACACGCAACAGAGCTCCAAGCAAGGTCTTCCTGACTCTGCTAATTATTAAACATACTCCTGTTAAGCTTAACTAGACGCGCTTGTCAGCTGCTGGCAGGAAGAGAATAGTGGGAGAGACTTGTAAACACACTCTGATGACTAAGTGAAAACACTGCCAAGATCCCAAGGCACTGGAGCCTGCTGCCTTCAGGTGTCGTTGTCTACCTTGCGTTTCAGCCTGGAAGCCAGGCTGACCAGTGTGGACTTCTCTATTCTGAGATAAGAAGCTGAAAGAGGGGAGACTGAGATGAGCTCTTAGGCAGAAGCTCTTCCCTGTGAGGGTGCTGAGGCGCTGGCACAGGGTGCCCAGAGAAGCTGTGGCTGCCCCATCCCTGGCAGTGTTCAAGGCCAGGTTGGACACAGGGGCTTGGAGCAAGCTGCTGCAGTGGAAGGTGTCCCTGCCCGTGGCAGGGGTTGGAGCTGGTTGAGCTTTAAGGTCCCTTCCAAACCAAAACATGGCTGGGATTCTATGGTTCCATAATTCCACTATTCTATGCTAGGTTCAGTTGCCTTGCAAGGACAGCGCTGGTAAAAGCATGTGCTTCAATGCTGGAGTTCCTGACATCTGGTCACACTGAGATGGTTCACAGCACCTTTGCTACCCTTGGGCATGCAATGGCTCTTGGGCAGTAACCTACCCATCACAGAGGCTCCAGGGCTCGTGAGTGCTGCCTTGAAGCCTTTTACTGCTTCTCCAGAGCATGTGTCTAGAGACTGCAGCAAGTTGCACCAGCAGCTATACCAAGGAAGTGGCTTTCAGGCTTGTACGCAGCAATCCTTACACTCTTTCAGGGCCATTTCAACCACATTCCCAGCATGCAGGCTGCAACGTGCTCCTTTACCTGCCTCTGGGCTTTTGTGGTGGTGATCTGTGCATGACCTAAATTCTTGATGATCTAGAAAAGGATTGCAGGAGAAAGTCTGCATTTTTGACCCTCGAGCATTTTTAGCTTCTCTGAAAATAACCAAAGAAACGTCTTCCCTTGGATTGGCTTTGAGGTCTGGAGAAGGCTTTTTCTCCTGTTAACTCCACCTGCACCTTATTCCTTACCAACAACCAGCAGCACAATGAGAAAGGATGGCTCTGAGGATGGAGATCAACTTCCTGCAGTGTTTTCTGCTGCGGCTTGCTCTTGACTCCATTCCTTCACCATCCAAAAGGGGCAACCCTCCAGTTTCTCAGTTCTAGGCAAAAGTGAGGCTGATGAGGCAGGTGACAGTCTGATTGAGATATTTTTCCACCATGTATTGTAATTAGCTTGTCAGGATGAGGTAAGACAGAACTGGAGTAGAAATGTTCCCAGGTAGGTTGCATTTATATTGAATGCAAAGCCTGTTATAGTACAGCATTAAGGCTAGACAAACAGCAAGGCAACTCCAACAGCACTGACTCAACTGCCTTGCACGTTCTGGATATTTTGGAACAGCCAATTTATAATATAAATAGGAATCTATCAAGCTGTACACTGACCCAGAAAAACAGGAGGAGAAATTCCTGCGTACTCCTAACGTGGCTGAGCGAATCCTGCTGCTGGCACATTCACACTCCCAGCTCCTCTAGTAAGGCATTTAATTTTCCTACTTTTCCCACAAAAAGGAGACAAAGAGAAATTACTCTTGTTTAATAATGTTAGCATTTAAATAGCCTTAGACATAGGATAGATGTGCATGAGCTATTCATTGCCTGTGCTGCTGGTTTTTACTTGGATGCTGTTTTCTGCCAGAGTAGATGACAGGTCTGAACCACAGTTACTTTGTGATAGGAAAAGATAGACCTTCACCTTTTCTCTTTAACGTGAAGTTTATAATTTAGGGATTGTACCAAAACTCAAGGGGGAAACCTGAAAACCACAAGGCCTGCTCCATCCTTCCTGCATGTGCATTTTTGCCAATCTAGATAAAAAACTGCAGGGACAACTGCAAACGTTCCAGTTGATGCCTGAAAGCATCATGCCCTGTCCTTGCCAAAGCTCCTGCTAGGGGAAAATGGTAAAGAAATGTTAAAGAAAGGTGACACAGGGATTAGGAGGCACTCTGGATGATGCTGCTCTCTTTGAAGCAATATGCAAACTGCTTATCTCTCCAAAGCCCTTGATTTATACCCCTCCTCCTGAACAAGCCTGCAGCTGGAGGAGCCAAATTGGCTTTAACCCCTGGTTTGCTGGAACCCAGATACTGTGCTTCTTTGCCACCAGAGATAGGCTGAAAGGTGCTTCCTTTCGTGAGTGAATGGCACGGATTTAGGAAAGGAGATAACCTGGGGAGCAGTATCTCTGCTCCCAGCCCTGTGGAGGGGGCTGGCAGTCAAAACAATGCCCCGAGTGGCAGAGGAGGGCTTTTATTTTAAGGTTACTCCGTGCAATGTCACACAATAATATACGCTCCTGCGATAAGGAATGTTAATAATACTCCACTTTCTGCCAAGAATAGAGTCCCTATCTACAAACCCCACCGCTCTAATCAAGCGAAACAAAGCTGAATGTATGAAAACAACAAAACCAGGAGCTCGGGAAGTATTTGGACTCAGGAAAGACTAAATATTTAACTTGTGAGGCCCAATGCATCCTGGAATGTATGGGGCACTCCAGGAACAGCTAGCCATTGTCCAGGGGCTACAGGGCAAAGCCCTCTTAAACAGGCCATGTCCTGCAGGGCTACCAAGTTGTCCCAGCCACCCACAATGTTTGCACTGGGGTAGGAGGTAAGGAGGTCTTTGCAGAGGTGAAGATGGGCATTCTTTCCCATAGGAAGTGTCAGAGCCAAGGTCCAGTTCAGGGGCTGTATGTGCTGCAGCACAGCACAGTGTTGCTGTCCTTTCTGTTTGATGTGTGCAAGAGAGTAGTCACAGGTCTGAAATATCCTGGACACCTTCATAATATTAGAAATAAGCATCAAAACAGGGCTCGAGCTCCCATATATCAATAGTTGTGGGTCAGGTGGATGGGATTAACCCAAGAATGGCTCAGGTAAGCTTCATGACCACAGCAGAAAGCCCTGGAGCCCAGTTACATGTGTTTGTGTCTGTGAACGAACCTGGAGATATATGAATCCAATGAACTCATCCACGCAGCGAACACACAGGCATTTCCAGGGCAAACTGACCCTGCATCACATCCAGTCCTATCTCCAACAGTGCAGCATGAACAGTGTGGGAGGAAGACCCGGGGAAGACAGTAAAACAATAAGACACCTTTTTATTTTTCACTGTTTTTATAAATATATCCATCTATTTTTCCAAGACAAGAAACTCCTGGGGGTAAGGAGAGGGGATTTTGCCTGTTTTGCAAGAGTTCATCCATTGTTCAAAGCAAACTCTCCTGTCCAACATAAACAGGGACTCTTAAAAACATTCTCATCCAAAACAATTGCCATGACTTTTGATGTTTGCATGGTGCTTGCTCTCCCCTACTGTTTGATCATTATGTTGTACAATATTTTTTCCCCTTCCTCACAGGCCCCGTTCCAGGTGCCCCTGCTCTGGAATTCATGGCTTCATCATCCAAGCTTCTGTATTCAGTGAGATACAATGGAAAGAATTTCACAGCATTTATTTTGACTTCAGTGACTCCCCCTCTTGCCTGTTTACACAGCCTCCTTTCCCTCACAGATGTGCTTGTCGCCAGGCTGAAGGAGCTCAGCTCCAGCGGATCATCTCCTTCCTCTCTAGGAATCCCCATCACAGTTCTCCTGTAGGTCATTTCTGCCTTGGCATTCAATAAGAAGCTGCTGAACACTTCATTTTTACTACTCTAAATGAACCTTCAGAATCTGCCTAAGACCATGACGTGCTGGATTCTGCACTCACAGCAATGATCCTTGCTCCTAAAACCAACACAGTGCACAAGGCACATGAGGACACCGAGGGAACATGAAGAGCAGGAGTCGGAATGATCTTTGCACAGCTGTAAAGCAATTCTCTCTATCCCGGGGAACAGCCACTCCAAGCCAAGCAGAGCCCAGGCTTCCTTCTGGCAACAGCAGCTCTGGCAGATGTGCAGTGATTTCCTAGATGGACTCAAGACCCCGTGGGTGAAAGGAGGAAATCCCCATAATGGAAACAAGCGCACATCAGAACTCTCAGTTCCTTTCAATCCCAAATCTCCCCTCTTCACTTTTCACAGGATCAGAACCAGCTCATCTTTTCAAAGTAAAATACAGCTAATTTGGCTCTCTAAACTTATTATGTCTGTTTTTTTTTCATTCCAAACATTATAATTCTTAAGCAATACAAAAATAGGCTGACCCAGAATCATGGCGCTTCCATTAATCAGAGCAGTCTTTAATAAACTTAAAATGTTTCAGTGACCGAAGGTCCAACCCATTACAATGCAGGAAAACTCACCTGTGGCTGCTTCCTTGCTTTACCAAAAAAGAGAACAAACAAACTGAAAGACTTTAAACTATAACAATCCTGGAAATATGCAAAATATAAATCGATGCAATAAAATCAAAAGAACTGATCAACATAGACTGTCCTTTGGGGAATTTTCTCTAAATACATCACCCTAAACTAAACACTGCCTAAAATGAACACGTGTGAGGAGACCCAAAAGTACACAGGACATTGGGTGCACTCCCACAAACTGGATAAACTTGTGCTTATCCCTGACAGTGGCTCAGAGCAAGGGACAATTCCATCCCCTGTTTTCACTGGATAGAATACTCAATACAGCACCAGCAGCAAACGCCACAGCTCACAGAGCTTGGCCAAGGGCAGCATTTCAACTCTCAGGATCATTTCAGTGGCAATAATGCCCTTGGTCTGGAATGTCCCATCCTGCACCATGTTGTTCTATGCTTTCTCTCTATGATTTCCACTCCCCATGGGTGCCCCCCATGGGAGGGTGACCAGCAGAGATATCAAAGGGATCTGTGCTCTGAATAGGGCTCCCAGCTGCTTTTTCCCATTTCATTGCTGCTCAGAGGGGTGGCACAACCTACAGGCTGCCATGCATGCACCCTGCAAATGAATCCAAATCTGTTCTGGGCAGAAAGGAAATGATTTAGACCCAGATTCTCTTTTCCAATTTGACTTTTTCCCATTTTTTTTATTAATTTCATGAAATAGAAGGAAAAAAAAAAAAGAAGAAAATCAAATGAGTGTTTCTGTGAATTGGGGCAAAGAAGAGCAGGCCTGTGGGGCCTTTCACTCCCTGCACAATGTTCACTGATCAGGACCAGAGATTCAATTAAGCACCTTGGGGTGCTAATTCACAAAGACAAAATAAGGAGCTTGCAGATAATTTGTCTTTCCTTCTATCCCAGAACGCTCCCGCTGAGTAACACGGGTTCTGGTCTATAATTGGCAACATTAATACAATTAAGATGGTAATTTTGCCCCGATTTCGTTCTGTATTACAAAGTATCTCACTTCATATCCCTCAACACATTTTACTCTGTTAAGTTCTCTCATTATTTCTTTCCTTTGGGCTAACAAGCAAGCCAAAGCCTTCCCTTCAGACATCACAGAGCACAGGGCTTGAGCGCTCCTTGTCTGCTGGATTTTCACAGACAGAAAGATGTAAGGGTCCAGGGAGGGGCAAGTGGAGATGAGTGTTTATTTGGACTGGAGCACAATGTTAATGAATGTCTCAGGAAAGCATCAGGCACGTGTCAACGATTAGGAGGAATATAGGAAAACAACTACAGTGTCAAAACCCCCTTGAAGATCTTCCTGGCCTCCAATCACCCACCGACCCTCCAGCAAAGCAATCCTCATAGATCCTACTGCCTTCTCTGCCCACAGAGCAGTCCTAGGATCTATTCCCATCATTGACTCAGCTCTTTTCGTTGATGATGGAATGAAATTTGAGCAAGATGCTCTAGTGGAAGGTGTCCCTGTCTGTGGCAGGGGGTAGGAACTGGATGAGCTTTGAAGTCCCTTCCAACCCAAACCATCCTATGACCCTATGATTCTATGAAATGTTGATGGTATGGTGGGAGACAAGATGTTTCAATAAGGAGGGCTGAAGGGTAAGAAGGATTAATTTATCCCTGGACTGTTTAGACAAAGAGCACTGATTGCAGGAGTCAGAGACAAGGCAAGTTCATGGTTTAAAGGAGAAAGAAGATACAGGCAAGGAGCATTGAGACCAGTGAGTAACAGTAAAGAACTCATGCTTGGGAGTGTCTCTTTGCAGCAAGGCTACACAGGTACCTCTCTTAGCCCCAACCAAGGTGGCTGCATAAAGGCTGCAAGTCCCAACTAAGCCCAGAAAACAGTTTTGGAGAGACCTCATTTCTCTGGGCAGAATGGCTCTGATTAATGAACCTCTTCAACAGATGACAGCCAGCAGGCAGGAGTGAGCCTGGGCACTCGTGAATTGCCACTGCAGGGTAACAAGTGTCTGGAGCAGTGTTTAGTGCAGCGCTTGGTGTGGTGAGTTGCGAGTGATGCTCTTCAGATGGGAAGGATCTGGTGGGACTCATGGATCTGTTTCTGGGCTGCTCACTCAAAAGAACTGATAGAAAAGTTATTCTTCTTCTAAAAAATACATGCATGCATCATCGTTACACACTGGCAAGTCTTCAATGGGTCTGATTTCTCTTTCTCCCACTCAAGAGAGCAATCTGTGTGATAGCACAGGTAGGTTTGAACACTACCCAGTCATGCTGCTTGTGGCATGAGCAAAACTTGCTGCATTGCTCTGGGCTTTGCCTTCTCAGAGCTCCTTCTTTGTGAGAGGAAGCCATTGAATTTGCTTTTCCTCCTGCCCAGTTACAACAGGGATTTTCTGGAAGCCAAACAAAGGCAATGGAGATCGTCTGGGAAGATAAAGAGAGAACAGTCTGAACAAGCAGGAAGCTAAGGGGGGAACGAGACTTGAACGTGGCAAGTAAACAAAGTCGTTTCTGTTTCGTGCCTTGCAGAGGAGGAGGAAGAGCTTGAGGGGCTGTGGAGGTCCTTGTTCATGGACAGTGCTTTGGGATCCGTGGAAGCTCTCCACAAGATCTGGGAGAAGAAGTTTTGATCCAAAGCCACCAACTTTGGTTCCCCCCTTGGCTCAGCTGACAGCCAATGGCAGGAAATGGCCGCAGCTCTTTCAGAGAAGCAGGACATGCAGAGGGTTTGCCCAAGGTCCCACATTCCTTGTGGAAAAAGGTCCTGAACCCTGGCCAGCTGGGGCCCTCCCTTCGGACCTACTCCCCTGCCTCTCAGCCCTTCAGTTAGCAGCTGAACTGCAGGAAGGAACATGATTTGATCTCTTCCTACCTTAAAGCTCTCTGATTGATGGACCAACACCAAGATGGCTGGGAGCAAGCCGTGGGCTGAAGTATCTTGGCATTAGAAGAGACAAAGAGGAACTCTCAGCGCAAGGAGTCCAGCAGCAGGGCAGTGCTCATAAGCCAGGATGCCTGCAGGCTGGGAGCCATCACCATCCCTGTCATCAAACAGGGATCTGGCTGCTTCCATGTTCACACACACGTGAAAATGCTTTTACCAGGGACATCCTGGAGGTCAGGAGCTGCCAATGGCAAAGGAGAAGGTAGGTTGGACTGGGTCTCAGCAGTCTTTGCTGATGTTGGCTTCGGTGCTCTTTGCTGCCTCCTTCTCTCACATAGCCAAGGAGTAACCAGTGGCTCCCAAATAATTAGCAACTCAGTGTATCCTGGGATAAGGGACAGCAACTTTCCTGGGGATCTTGACTCATAGCACAGATATACCTAAGCTGGAGAAAAACCCCTGCGCATTTGTGTCCTCACAACATGAACCTGGGTGATCTGCTCCCAGCACATCACCAGTGCCACTGGACCAGCAGATACTGCCCTAGGTGTGGTTTTCTCCTCCAAGATGAGGTCAGGCTGAAGATTTTGAGCATCATTTCCGACCTCCTGAGTACTCCAACTGCCCTGAGGTCCTTCCTGCTCCTTGGGCAATGTCTGAGTTTAAATCAAAGCGCTTTTTCAAAACTCTAGGTTCAAAACCCAAATTGTTGGTTAAAGACATGAAGTTCCTCCCTCAACCAAAAGGTGTGCCTGGTGCCTGCTCCAGCTTGGTCTTGTTCCCAGCTCCACCCTCTCTGGGTCTTGTTTCTCTTATGCCTGATGGATTGCAGAGTATTTAATGAGCAAATGCTTTGGTCCACAGGCAGCAAACAAGTCACACCATTCTCTGTTAAGCTGCCTAGACAACGCACCTTGAGCCTGCTTATTCAA